CAAACACCTGTCCTCTTCATTAACTGTGCATTCGTTTTTCAAACAGATGAACACTGCACTGTCGTTGAACTATTATGATAAGGACCGCTCGATTTCGGACAGACTTTGGCCTAGTCCAACTCACTAGTCATGGCAGAGCATACCTGAGTTATGACAGTGACCAATACTCCAGCAAGATGCTCAACACAGCTCAGCTACCAAACAACTCACTTTTGAGTGCTCATTTCTTTTAATGTCGAGTTTCCATCAGCCCAAAATTAGCTAAATACAGATTAGTTTGATTTTGCGCATACCTGATGAGCCCCAAGAAGGGCCGAACCGGTTGTGGGCTGCCGGATAATTTTTAGCAATCTTATGAGTAGTGTATTGCGGCTATAAATGTATCGGGACATCTCGAATGTCGTGCCACCTGAAAGATGAGGCGGTCTGGTGTAACACATTCAGTTGCTTAGAAACATCATAAACGAGAGAATCAGCTGGGTTCTAAATGAGTCTCCCGCAAAACCAAGTTAGTTTGCAAATGAGTGTATCTCGCAAACTGCCACCCGAAACACTCAGGGTATGGTTTATTCACAACATCAGCAGCACGCTATGGTAAATGATAGACAACAGTTTCCTCATAGCTTACGGATTCTGCAAGACAGGTTTTCTTTATTGGACTGCCTCTCTTTGGTTGAACATTCGCGACCAGAGGAGAAAACTGTTCCGGACTCCCCAGGCGAATGGTCTCCCTGGTGGGTCAACTGACCAGTGAGTAACCTTTGGGGTCCTAAACAGTTCAAGTCAGACAACAAGGTTGGGGGGAAAACCTGGAATGCAGTCGCAAACTGCTGTGGACTGTCTTTTCTACGTAGCAATCCTTGGTACCATTGGTGCTGATTCAAACTATCCCATGAGATTGTCAGTAAACTGTCGGGTGATAAATAAGAATGAATCCGAATACGCCTCAGATCCACCCTCCACTTCTCCGTCCTCTTCACACGTTTCGCTGCTCACTTCTCGTTTCTGTTCAACTAATTATTATGCTGGCACATAAGTGAGCGACACTCAGCTCCAGCTGTTCCCTGAGATAAGGTCTACTCGCACGTCGGTGATGCCATGGCAGCCAACCAGGGTAATTTTCCACCCTCCAGAGCAAATCTCATTTCAACCCACACAGATTCCAACTCGTTACAATTCACTAGGGTGGTGGTAACCGTACAGGGTGACCAATATTACCAATCGGTTCGACCAGACATCTTACGCATAAGTGACTTTCTTTAATAAAAAGGCATACTTCAGTTAGAAGTGAAATTACTGCCGCCTGACTCACCCAAGTCTAGACATGTTTCAAATGAATTTTGTCACGTCCTTTCACCGTGACAACGAAGTGGCTGGCATTCACTGAGAGGTGCACCCGAAACAAGGGTTACAGTAGAATTTGTTTTCAGGACGGTTCGTTTCGAAAAGTTGCAGCTGGGGCTTTGACTAATTTCAAGATGGTACACGGTGCCGTACAGTGCTGGTGGAACAAAAGAGCGTTCGACATTAGAAGGAATAAGTCCGTGTATAATTTTCCCACGAGATTTCGCTCGCCTGGGCAATACCATCTCGCTATAAAGCGTCTGAAACTAACTCCAAAACAAGCAAGCACCCATGTTGACAGACAGCACAGTTCTATTATTTGACAAGTCATGACCGTTATCGTTCTTCTTGGGACTCATCGATGGGCCCAGTCCCCGAACACTAAGTTCTGTCGAGGCAACGTACAATGTGATATCTCGAGTACTGAACCAAGTGAAACATGACGCGACCGTGTGCAACACCTTCAGTTGAAGGGGACCATCGTCAGTTGAGTTCGAAGGATTACCCCGTTAAAAGTATCTTAATGTTGAAGAACGACGTTAATTTTACTGCAATGTAGTTCTCTTTTGCTCGGTTAAACAGTTTTAGATCAAAACGGGGATGGGTTTGTCTTTTGCGGTCAAGCGCCGCTTTACTTTTGGTTTTCAAACCCCGTTGTGGCAACAGTCGGCAGGCGCACGTCTGGAAGACAGTCACGTGAGATGTTATTGATTTTTCAGTGTCCATGCAATATCGATCGAACGAGTGATGAACACCACTTACAGAAAAAGTCAAAGGCGAAAACAGACATAAGTGCCTCGTTTGAATGTGTCGAAAGTATTGTGGCAAGTGCTGTAGGCAAGGAATTCCATGTAGTGTCCATCTAGGTGACTGAGAGATCCAGAACTGCAGCGTAACTTATCGCTTTATATGACTGAACAGCGCCGAGCACATTGAGAATAATGAAAGCGAAGACAATTCAGTGCGAAAGTCCTGAGTTGGTTAGTCCCAAATATTCAATCTTTAAATCTGCCATAGTGTATGACGGGATGGCCAAAATATCCTTTTTAATATCATTTTCTGCGTAAAGATGTTTGAAAAGCGGTCGATGCGGAAGCCATTTGTGCAGATCTAGTCTAAAACATAAACTTCAAACTTCCCGTAGTTTCCATCTTGAGAAACCGTAGCCAGTCTTGCTGACCAGCGATAATTTGCGTCACCTTAGGCATTAATTGAGGGCAAATAACACCTTTTTTCACTAGGCCCACGTGACTATTATCCAAATTAATCTAACCAGTCAGCAATTTTACGAGCTGTATTTCTTACTAGCATGGTGAAATATCGATTTTTTAACAGTGGTGTAATTTACGTGAACTGGTATGGATTTGTGCTGAACGAATGTACTCAACGGGACTGAACATCACCCACTGGGATGCATAGCTCTGACTAAAAACCTGCAGTATTTGAGGATGAACTTTCCTCCAGACCGCTAGTCTGAAGGCATTTATGCACGATTTCGCAGAAGCAGCCTTATCTGCGGGGTGCTGATATAAAAAGTCGGAAACGCCTGCTCGAGAGCGGTGATTGCACTTAAACACAACATCAGTTTTACAATCGTACTTATGTGACGGGTTTCCACAATTTTATTCTATCCATTTATTCACACTTAAAGTCAATTGAGGGAATTTTTACTCCAACAAGAAAACGTGCACAATCCGTTATCCCTATACGTTCGATATGAAAAGAAGAAAGCGTTCAGCTGTAGCACCCTTCCGGTGCCTAGCTGCCATGCCACCCGAAGGAAGCATGAGGGCTCGGATACTGCCAGGTTGCCCAAGCCTAGACAGGCGAAGTCGAGTGGCGGTGGTCGGATTCGAACCACGAACCTTCTGGTCAGTAAATTCGCGCTCTAACCACTTGGGCCATCTCGATATGCATCAAAACAAACCAATAATCAAGCCAGGGGGTGTTATTTCGAATCGTTCAGAAGTTCTGTGGGAAACTGGTAAAATTGACTTCAACTCAAGCGGTGTTTGAGCAGACCAAGCATAACAACAGATGAACATAGGCATTCGTTTCCGTTTAGTTTATTCTCAACCTAGTCCAATAGGATACCTGTTGAAATGTCTCTCGTTGGGTTTACAACTATGCGTTTTTCAATGTGGACATGGCTGCATAGAAATTGGCAAATCTTGCAGATATAAAAAGGTATATTCATGAGAAAGGAATCTAACTAGTGGGCACTAGTTTGCCGAACAAGTTATATGCCACCAGATCGCCTAAGCAAACCTGAAAAAATTGAAATTCTGTCAGTCAGTCGTACAGCATCAGCATCAGCATCATCATTATCCCAATCATCATCCGAATAATCATCCGAATCATCATCATCATCATCATCATCATCATCATCATCATCATCATCATCATCATCATCATCACCATTATCACCATCATCATCATCATCATCATCATCATCATCATCGACAGCATGACATCAGTGTTCATCACCGATGCTTCACTGCATCATTGTATAATGGTGATACGCCCCAATTTGGGCGAAACCTGTCGCGGGCTGCCAAGAAGTCTTCATTTACAGATTTCCTTGAACACGGCTGCCCTGTCCAATTTTGAAATCACCCATCTATGGGGAAGGGTCAATGCAAATATCGATCGAATCGCGAATCCAGTGCCTTCGGTGAATGAAGCAGAGAACGGGCCAGGATTGGCTGACTAGACTAACAATCTAGCTATGCACTTCGGGCGAATTTCAGTCCACCGTGCCCACTGACCGAACAAGGACAAAAGTCCATTTCACTGTGACTCGATTGTTTTCTTACATCCATCTTATTTTCATTAGTAAAGAAAACTTGGCCTAGAACTCCATGTGGATTCAATTATGTCAGACTTGATTGATGATGATGCAGATGATCAGGCCACCTTCAGACTCGTTCTTCTCTACTCGTAGTAGGATTAGGAGATCTGCGGAGATCTGTGGTCCCTACACAAGCAAGCATCCATCGTGTGATGCACCGTACCACTTCCCGTGGAGCGGACAGACACTTGTACAGTCAAGGGACGGGCGAGAAACATCAATCATGGACTAATTGGACGCATCCCCCAGCACAAAGGTTAACGAACCAGTAGTTTTTTTCTGGAACACTGAGCACCAGAGCATTGCACATCTACTGCACACCTGACAGCCGACATGAGAAAGTGATGTCTGTTCACTGGTGCCGAGTCTCATCTGTGAAGAGTGTCTACAGGACCATTCTGTGTAGGATACAAAGAAGGCAAAAAAAGGTGTTTGTACCTGTACGTGTGCAACAGATTTGAGTTAGGGATCCAGTGCGTACAACCCCGTGATTTCAAACTGTAAAATCAACCTCATAGAACAAAACTATGCGCCTTTCGTGATCTGACTGTGATTGATCCGGTTCGGAAAAGGGCAGGGATCTTTTCCAGATGAGTCCCGCCAAAAAATTAACCCCCGCCACACAAAAAAGATTAAAAAAAGAGGGTATGAAATTTGTACTTTTAGGTTTTATTAGAGGGTGAAATTGGGACATGTCATTAATAATTTGCATGAAAAGGATCGTTTTTCCGGTAACTTTGCCTCCGAACTCCACTAAAGGTCAGTGTGTACCGCATTGGCGTTTATTCTGCACTTTGTAGACATGTTAGAGATTCGATGGTTTGTGTGTGAGCTCTAGTCGTTGGATCCACAAAGTTGAAAGTGCCATTCGGTGGCCATTGTTGCATAACCGTTGCTGATGGCTCACTCCGCGGCTTTGCAAAAAACGTATTGCCGTCTCCTTGTCATGAACGAGAGTTGAATGCGTCAGAAAGTTCAGTTCAGGTCCGAACGGAGGAAACTTTTTGCACAGAATGAGCCTAGATGCGGGTAAGGAATTGGTTTCATCAAAAGTAGGTCAAGGTTCTGTGCGTACATTAAATTAGAACTGGCAAAAAGTGGCGGGGCTCATCTGGAAAAGATCCAAGGGTAGTTTATGGTTTTCTCCGAAGGCGGAGAAACTGTTTATGTCCACCCTGAGTGAATGCATGCAACCGAATGCACACTACTGTAGAGCAAATCCTCATAGATCTGCCTCGGTGGATCTATAGATAAGTAATGTACTTTCATCAGCCACCTTCATATATACACTGACAAGGGTTGAGGTGGACAACTAAATCAACCTGAATTGCTGTTCAAACCCTTGGTTGTCGACCCTGTTCTTCCCAAAAAACAAAATTTTAAATCTATAAGTCAGGTCAGCATTAAATGATCCCATTCAGAGATCGATAATTGGGGAATTATTCATTTGTCCCCTGTACATATACCACCCCCAACACGGGCCAACCTGCCCCCCCCCCAAGAGATCGGGCAACTCAAGTGTAATTTAATATTAAAAACAAATAATAATCGTTCAGTTGTAACACCATTTTGGTGCGTTGCTAGCATGCAACCCGGGGGAAGTCTAAACAGGATCAGTGTGTTTGCTGAATGTAGGTTTGAACCACAGACATTTCAGTCAACAATTTCGCGCAGTTGCCACTGAGACGTTTCGGAAGGCCACACACCTGAAGCGGCTGCTTTGCTCGCACCTCCAATAGAATTCAGCTAAATCACGATACAAATAGTTTTCTCAGATTTATTTATGTTCGCTTAGTCCATTAGTAGAATCTCAGTGCATCCGAGTGGAGAATACTAACAGTCAAACCCCGAATTTGAGAGAAACGCAGTCACGTGAATGAAACTACTCATAAGGTTGCTGAAATTCCTTCAGTTGCCCAACACCAATCTGGACATTTTAGGAACTCAACAGGTAGGTGCAGTTCCCGAGTTTCTCTTCAGTCATCCTTATGTTCTACTTGAGCCCGAATTGGGCGAACTTAGTAGAGTACACTCATTTGCATACCAATTTGGTTTTTATGGGAGACTCAGATGAATTTCTCAACTGAATCTGCTGCACCAGGGTCACTTCATGCTTCGTTTGGAACGATATTCGGGATATCTCTGAAGGAATCTGTTCACAGTTTTTAGTGAAGTGGTCCTTGCGCAATTGAAGAATATCACAAATGGGGCGAGATGGCCCAAGTGGTTAGAGTGCGAATTTATTGACCGAAAGGTCCGTGGTTCCAACCCGACCTCTGCCTCTCGACTTCCCGTGTCCAGGCTTGGGCAACCTGACAGTATCCCAGCCCTCGTGCTTTCTTTGGATGGCATGCCACTTAGGCACCGAACGGGTGTTAGAGCTGAACGATATCACAAATGAGCGATGCAACTGGGACTCGGTTGAGACTCCCGTCAAAACCAAAATGGTGTGCAAAATGATTGCGCCTGGAAGTCAGTACAGGTCTTCAAACACTATATCGAACCATGAAGCATCTCACCCACTGGCTTTTTCGAACAGGTCTTTCGGACCCGTATGGCTTGCTGTGAGTAAGTAACCGGATGCCCGGAGACGCCAACAGGATCAGAGGGTAGCTGGTGAGAGTCATCTACATACTGTGTGTGCGTGTGGTCTTTGGGCCACTCGCAACAGGCCAAGAGGTCATAAAAAAAAACAAAGTTCGCTCTCGTTAATTGTGTGTTATCCACCAGGCAAATAACAAAGTTCAGAAGGTCACATGGATAGTTTACAGCTGTTACCGGCCGGCTGACCCTTTGGTGGCCGAAATCTATTCGTGTACAAAGGTCAGATTTGGGCAGCTGGAAGGAAATCGCCTCAGCAACAGACGGCTGTATAGATCGAGTTGACTATGACTGATCGGTCGTGGCAGTAAAGATCGAGAGGTTTGCTGTGGTCCGGTCCACCAGCTGAATGGCTTCGGCAGATCAGTAGCGGAGTTTTTTTATTCTGCAGCCTACACAAACTGTCCCATCCTTGAGTCATGTCGCAAACAGTCGTAAGCAACTGGCCGGGTACCCTCATTTGCAAATTACATTGGCGTTAAAGGAGGAGACTCGGATGCATCTGTGGTTTGTGGTACCCCTGAACTGAATGTGCTGTACCTAAGACGCCTCAATTCAAGATTGGTAGCAGAATCCAGATATCAAAGTGTACATTACTGACTACTAATGACTCACTACTCATAAGATTTTCACTTGCGCCCAATTTGGTTCTCAACTCGAGCTCGGGGACCAGGATACCTAAGAGTGAAACCAATGATGAAATTTAGAGCAGTTTCGAGCAACCTTATGCGTAGAGTGTCTCACGTGCACCATCTCAAATAGCCTACTCACTTATGTGGATTCATCGGGGACTTAGCTGGTTCCCGGGCAATTAATAAGAGTGTATTTCATGATTTCGTACAATTTTGTTTCGAATAGGACATAAGGTTGACGGAAACTCGGGGACTTTGCCTACCTGATGAACCAGAAGAATGGCGAAACCGGTTGTTTGCTGTCGAGTAGTTTTCGGTGAAAAAAATTGCTCAGCTGTAGCACGTTTTCGGTGCCAAACTGCTATGCCACCCGAAGGAAGCACGAGGGCTGGGATACTGCCAAGTTGCCCAAGCCTAGACAGAGGAAGTTGAGAGACAGAGGTCGGGTTCGAACCACGGACTTTCCGGTCAGCAAATTCGCGCTCTAAACACTTGGACCGTCCCACTCCTAGTTATAAGTAACCTTATGGGTAATATTTCCTCAAGAAGATACATTGTGATATCTAGCAATAAGTTGGACAGCTGAGTCTGTCGCTAACAGAAGAGCAAAACAGCACAATGTTCACGGAGTTCATTAGATAACGGTCCTGTTACACGACCCAATGGCGACGCACTGAGGGTATTCATACTATAAGTCTTCAGTGGTGTAGAACTGACAGCGATTCGAGCTCGATGGTGATAAGATGAATTTCCCAACGCTCTGGATTCGAACACCGTCTGCCACAACGGGAAAAGGAGAGGTAGTTGGTCGACACAGTGCGGCCTAAGGTTATCACAATATTTGGTCAGTAAAAGGAACTTGCTGTATCTGTCTTCCAAGAAACTGTACTAGCTCAGGTAGACGCTAACCTGATGTCACACATACAAACAGCTTGTTTGCCGTTCATCCTTCTGGATCTCGAGAGAACTTTTTTCTCAGATCTCTGTGTGCTAGTTTCCCAACCATTTTTTGGAACGAACTCTTGCAAACCCAAAGAATATCAAAAGAGAACTGCCCTAGCGGTGAAATTCACATGCGAAAACGATTCGTGGAAGTTGTATTAGTTCTGATTGTAGTT